ACACAAGTAAAACTAAATGTCAAGTGAAAGTACATAGCACTCAAAACTTGGTAAATATGTCAAGCAAATCTGATAAGAATTGAAGTGCAAATTGAAATAATACATTTCAATGGGCAATATTCAGAATAATCAGAGAAATAAAACAAAAAAGAGGAACTGTCTTCATGCTAAAAAGAATACTGTAATTGTATTAATTTTGAAAAATTTCCCTCAGCTAACTCTAACAGGAAGTGAAGTAATAATTTTATTAAGAATTATAGGATGTTAACTAAACTTATTGTGGTAACCATTTCACAATATATACATATTCACATCATTATGTTGTACATCTTAAACTAATACAATGTTATATGTCAATTATATCTCAAAAAAGCTGGAAAAATGAAAAAGAATCAAAAATAAATTTTAAAAAATTTAAAAAGAATTATAATTATAATACAAAGTCTATGTTACTGATTCCCAATTGTATTTTTATAAAGAAGTATTTGAAATCTATTCAATTTGAATTCTTAAGCTTTTCAAATTAACATTCGTACCTGGCAGACCAATGGTCCAGTCTGAAACAGCAATTTTTTTACATATTTTCGTAAACTCTTAACATAGTACAAAACCAAATAATACTAATTAATTAACATAATAATATAATAATTGGTATTATGATATAATTTTTCTAAAGAATTAGTAAGAAATATGGCTGACAAAACATCTTTTGTTTTTGAGATCTCCTTATGAATAAAACTGATATATTACACAAGCACTAAGATCATCAGATGCTCTAGACCAGGTCTGGAAGTAATTCTGAAAATTTGTGAGGTTGAAACTTGAATTTAAAAACACGAGCAGATGTTGTTTTATGGAACTTACCAGATAGTATTTTTAAAATCTCTTTTGTATCATTAGCTCTCTTTCAAATGGTCTCTAAGACTTGTTTTACAATTATTTAAAAAAATAGAATTGTCATATGAAATTCATAAGAAGAAAAAGTGTAAACCCTAATACAGCTCAGTACTTCTCGTTTAAAAGAAACTTCATTACGATTTGCAAGGGCTAAAATCAATGTTTTTTTTACTGCTTCAAAATGTGTGCTCAACTCCATCCCTCCATTCACTGTGTAGAATTACACTGCAGTGACTATACTTGGACCTATTAACACAAAGGAAGGTCCTATGATTGTGGTGTAAAACATGAAACATACATTTCAATCTAATACGGCAGGGAAATGACTAGCCTTATGAAATTATTTTTCCATCACATTTTGCGTTGAAGTATTAATAGGTAGTGCTGACAGAAAAATAACCAACTTACATATTCATTAGATATATACGCGATAGGTTAATTACGTTTTATTGGTCACACAGTGCAGTCAGTTTTTGAAAAGAATTAACTTCATCTAACTTTTATTAAACAGGTGAAATCCATTCTGAATTGCTTGTTATAAAATTTACTGCTTTCTCTTCTAAAATTATTTCCTTTTTCTCGGAAGCTCTTCTTATTGCCTTCTCTATCATTCCCTATCTACTGTTACTCCATTTGGAACAGAATGCACTAGTCCTGGTTTATCTATAGGCTTAGGTGAGTTTGTGGAATCCTAAACTCAGTGGTAGTTAACACATCCAGACCAAGCTCCCACTCACAGCACTTAGGCCCACAGCTAGAACCCAGAAAGCTCGCTCTTCAGCTTCCTCACGCCAGGAAGAAAGGAAGTGTTATAGGGTTACAGCTACAACCGCAGTTTTCAAGTTTAAGCTAAGAAAGACTTCAAATTATGTTTAGTTAACAATTAAAAGTAATTTAGGACCTAATAATTGGTTACAATAAAATTCTCTTTCCTCTATAAATTCAACCATTCCACATATGTCCTAAGTATCACTTATTTTTTTCTTAAGAAAGGTTACTTCCATTATTAATCTTCTCTTTTTCCTAATATTTAAACTCTCTCAACTAAGTACTTTGCCTTTATGTGTATCATGAAGATTCCTTTGTTTAATCTGTTGAATTGCACTCCTCCCAGCTTAGCTTAAATACCTTATTTTTCTCCTTGTTTTCTCCCCTACCAAATTAAATAGTTCATTACTCCCTTTTCCTAGCATCTATTATTTTCTTAACATGTTCCAATCTGTACTGTCACCTGTACCTATCCTGAGTTCTTTCTCTAATTCCTCCCACATTGCTTAGAGACATCCTAGTCTTTTCCACAGTGGATTCTGAAACTTGATTCCTTTTACTTAAATCTTATACATCTTCAGCATCATCACAGAATGATCATTTTACTTCTTAGCCTGAATGGAAGGTTGACCCTTCAACAAGAATACTACCTCCCTCAGAAACATTTTGAGGCGAAACTGCTCAAAATCTTAAACAGTATCAAAGCCCGGAAGCGGTATCAGCATTCTTCTAGGTCTGCATTGCTGCCTCCACATGTTTACTTTTCTAATTTCATGTAACATCTACTCCTTTTATGTGCATACCATTACACTTCCTTGCTGTTATCGTCTACTTCTCAGGCAATTTTCTTCATCCATTTTCTACAACCTTAGGCCTTCAGTAACTTCAATGCCTAGACAAAAATCCTAGCACCAAAGTTTATTGCTTTCCTTGCCTTCCCAAACTTTAATCCATGCTCCATCTCAAAAACCCACTCCCAGGACCAAATCTTGTATCTTTACTTTATTTGGAATTGTCTAATATATGGAAATTCTAAACATTATTAATTCAGTCTCTGAAAATAATCTTCTCCATTTGCTTCCATTAGCCTTCTATATCTCCACAACTTTCAGTTCTTTCATTGAATCCCTTCTCTCCCAGTTCATGGAAAACTCTGCATCTAAACTTGATTTAACAAGACAACATGATTTAACATGACTAACATCTTTCCTAATCTATCTTGGTCGTCATTTCAACCACTTTCCTTGCCAGTCACCCTTAACATCTTCATCTTTTTTTTCTTTCTACTCTAACTGCTCACAAACTTCCAACCTTAGATCCTCACAATTACATCTGTGTGCTAACAAACCAACCACACATATCCCTCTCCCATCCCCCATGGTAGCCACTCTTAATTTTATAATTTCCCCAAGCCATCAGGAAGCCTAGTCTACATTCATCTTCATTTTACTTTCTTTTAGATCTCTCTTTCCTTCTCTTCAATCTGGCTTCCACCTTCCACAACTTCACTGAAACCAATAAGGAAAAGATCATTATTGATTAGTTTTATCATTTAACAACATCATTTGTCTTTCTCTGGAATTTTTCTCTGTTGAGTATACCCTTCTTGAAATACTTTCCTTTCTTGGATTCTGTCCTTTCCTGGATATCCTACTATCTTTGAATGATTCTTTTCAACATAGTTTTCTGGCTCTTGTTCTTTCATTCATTGCTAATGTAAATAAATGTTGGTGGTCCCAGAATTTTGATTCTTGGCACTCTACTTATTCTTCATATGCTTCTGGCAATTCCAGTCATTCCAATGGAATCAATTAAATGCTGGTATTCTAATCTATGTCTCTAGCCCAGACTTCTCTCCTAAGTTCCAGACCCATACATCCACTCACCTGTACTGGGTATTTATACCTGAATACTACCCGAATACTCCAAAGAAACCTCAAACTCAACCCATCCCCAAACTGAGCTCTTTATTTTTCCCCTAAAACTTGTTCAACCTATATTCCTTATCTTGAGAAAATGTACCACCATCTATCCAAACATTTCAGTCACCTGAGATTATCATCTTATTCCTCCTTTTCCTGCATCAATAATATCCAATCGGTAACTAAGTCTTATAGATTCTATATTTTTAAATAACTTCTCAAGTATCAATTGCCTCTATTGATACCTTAATTCAGCCCATTATCATCTCTTAACTTATCTATGCAATATCCTCATAAATGATCTTTCTGCCTATATTGCTCCAGTCCATTTTTTACATAGCTTCCAAAGTCAACTTTCTAGAAACAAATATCTGATCTTGTTTCTCTCTTGCTTTACATGCTTTAAGAACCTATATGATCTTCAGAAACCCTACCCTGCCTACTTTTGCCTAAACTTGTTTGAAGCCATTTTGCCCATATCATTTCCTCTGCCTGAAATGCTCTCTACATGAGGCCAACATTTTTCTGGTTTTTAACGTCCAGCTCAAGGGTCATCTCTTCTATGAAGTCTTTCTTGAACTAATATCCATCCTTCTCAAGTAGAAAGGATCACACAATACTTTGTGATTCCATTGTATTCTATATATATAGATTTCTCATAGCACCTTTAATATTATTGTGTTTACTTGTTAGACTCACACCAGAAAAACCCTGCGAGGATAGGGGGCTATTCTGTGTGTCCTGTTATATCCAGCACCTAGAACACTACAACACAGCATGTGCTTAACAAATGAGTGTTAAATGAATGTTCAAGTTTTAGTGCAAGTGTTACTTCTTCCATGAAGCCTTTTCTGCCCATCTAGTTGAAACATTTTATAGCTTTGTAGAACATATTCTTAGAGTTATCCATATTGGCACATGTTTAACTCCTCGGTGATACTGATTGCTTGTTTAGGGCATGTATTAGGTCTTTAGTATTTTCCACAGTATAGTACATTGCTAAATTCATGATAGAAATAAAATACTTTTAGAATTAAGTAAAAGAAGTTGAAAATAAGTTTTAAGTCTAAAATAAGTTGAAGAACAAATTATGATTAATATGTTGATTTAATCTAGCTGACTCTATATATACATATACATATATTTGGATCTGGAGGTAGTTATGGAAAAAATACATAGATATATATATATTACATAAAAATTAATCATTTTATTTTTATCCATTTAATTGGAGCAGTTCCTGTTAAAAGCTGAATACACAATTACCTAAAATTAAAATGCCTGCAAGATTTAACATTTTGTTATATTAGGGGAGAATGAAAAATTATGAAATGAATAAAAAATAGTAAAAAACTTCTAAGACAAATTAGATAAATGAAAAAATAACAAAGAAAAGCAGTAAAAGAGACAGACCTGCATGTCTTCTCCGTGTGGAGTCCACTTCTTCTGTGATCACATCGTGTAATGGACAGACATAGACAAAGGAGATGGGTGTGAGTGGATGTACTCAAAAGGTAAAAAGTGACATTGAAGGAAAGGGCCCCAAATCATTTTGAGAAAGAATCCTGTGCACAGTTGTAGGGAAATATAATCAAATACATACGATATTTAACAACAACAAAAAAGAATACAGAAGAACTGATGGTGAATTGGTTAAGCTACTATGGGTTAGCAAAATCAGAAGAATAAAGTTAGCATAGAAATAAAGAGGATTCAGAAGTTTACAATTATTTATGGACAGCCAATCCTGAACACTGATGCTGAAGAAAGATGCCGTTAGTAAAAACAATGTTACTTGTATGACCATATTGTTCAAGACATTATTGAGTCTATTTAAGATCTGTGAAAATGCTTTCAGAATTTTTAGTTATCATCTAAAGAAAAGAATTTAATTGAATAATTTTCAAAAAGAGCAATAAAAATAGTTCCAACAGATTTCTATGCCTTTTAGGTTTCTCAAATTGATCAATGCACACATGAAAATAAAGTATGGCCATCAAGCCAATATTTCATTAAATTACTTCAGTACAGCAAAATATTATCATATAAAACTATTATGGAGAATCACAAATATAATAAAACTCATTACAAGAAGAGTAGCTGAAATATATGAATTTATTTAAATATTAAAAATTCAAATTAACCTTCAATTTAGACAAATTTTCTTTGATCATATTCCCTTATAATAACCACTTGTTAAGAAAATTCTTGCAGACACCACATAACAGATCATTGATATTTCTATTTAAATTTGCCCCTCCAAATCCAACATCTACTGTAACAGATACAGCACACATTTTGGAAACACTTCTTTCCCCATGGCTAGTGGAGAAGTTCAGAAGACATTTATACAGTGATTAAAAGCAGAAAATGTTTGCTAAACTCAGCATTCGAAGAAAAAATTTCTTCCAAAGACATTAGTGAGTGAGTATTAGTATGAATGACACAGATAAACAATATAACACAAAACCACAATCTCCTATTTTAATTACCTACTTTACTTTGAATCAGGTACCACAAAATTTTTCAATCAAAACACCACATTCACTTCTGCAATAGTTGTATCATAGTTTTTGAGTGATTTATAGAAAAACATAGTATATCAAAATACACTTAGAAGATCTATATATTACAATTATAACTCTTGAGAGGATTCTCCCCATAACAAATTTATCTTTTTTTCTGAATAGTGAGAAAATGAAAGCTTTCCATAGGAAAAAAGTGCTAACATGTCCAAAACTTTCTTTCTTATAAAAAAGAGAATTCCTAGTATGAATTATAGAGAACTGAAAAAGGAATGACACATTTTGAAACTTAACAATATCACTGTGATTATTATGAGTGCATCTTTGACCTAGTCAAAATTAGACACTAAATCTCATCATAATTATATTGCAAACCAAACTCTGCCAATAGGATTGACCATAAGTACTGTTCTCCTGAAATATACTCATACATTAATATGATATATGCCATATTTTCTTTTCCATCCCCAGTCCACCCATTTCTCAAAGAAGATAAAAGTCAGAGATATATAAATATCATAAGTTAATTCTGAATTATATCATATCTTGCATGATTTCTTATACACAAATTATCCCTATATATATATTTACCACAATACTAAAATAGTTTCCTCACTTGTTAAAATGAAATTGGTATGAACTGGATGAAATAACTGCTTAAGTATATTCCATCTCTAAGAAAACATTTTATATTTTTGCAGAAAACATAAAAACACATAAATAAATGAAGCTTCTTTCTCTATCTAGTATTTTCTTGTATCTTGGATTATTTTATAATGGCATTGAGGCAATGTTTTCCAAATTATATGGATTCAAAACATTCAAAATTCTTCTCAATCCATTCATTAAATTATTATAGAGAATAAGTGAGGCACACAGAGTTCAAGTGACTTACCCAAGGTCACAAAACAAGTTCAGTGGCAGAACCAGAAACAGATCGGAGGTCTCCTGATTACCAGGTCAATTTTCCTTCTACTAGATGCTATATGACCCATTAAAGACGTGTGAAATAAAAAGTCGAACAAGGACAAAACAAAAAAACCTTCTCATGGTGAACCTGAACTGGGCATTTTATTATACAGTATTTAATTAGAACATTTTTAAAAAGAGGTACATGCTACAACTATGCAAGTAATTCACCAATGCTTCTACTCTTGTGAGGAAAATGGTAACACTTATCTTACCTCCAATAATTTAGTTTTTTTTAGAAAATTATATAAAATTTATATTACATAAAAGGATGAAAATGAAAGATTTTGACAGTGATCTCACTACTAACTGAAATCATGAAATCATTAAATCCTTTTTCCATCATTTATGTGAATATGATCCATTAATAAATAGATCATAACTAACCTTATATAAAAAAATCACAACTTTAATTAGCAGAATACTCATTTAAATAATAAAAATCTCAACTTACAGTTATACCAAATTTTAAAAAATTTTTGGCTTTCATGTCTTCCTTGTGGTTTTTATTACACACTACTTGTATTAAAACAGCCTCATTTTAAAAGAGAAACCTATAGTCAACTATATCATTTAAACAGCCGTGTTTAATTTAAATGGTAACAAACTATAAATACTCCTTCCACATATATTATTGTCATGAATTGCAGACTTCAGTGAACCTTGAAGAAACTAAGAGTACCCCCTCCACTCTTCCTATCTCCCTACTTTTCCTTTAATCATTACTTTGCCACACTCAAACATTCTACTTTTCAGTTCTGTTAATGGCAGTTCTAATGAAAACTCTTTCCAACACTTCATTTAACCAATAACCAGTTAGAGTGATTAAGGATAGTAACAGTATACCCTCTCTTATTCACCTGAGTGGTGTTACTGTCACAACTGTGGCTGGATCTTAGTTTCAGACTTAGAAAATATAAAGCCTTTGTAAAGAGAATGTACAGTAATTTTTTTTTGGTTCATTTCATCATATGAACTAACAAAAGAGAAATAAAATATTTTCAATATTATATTGAAATAGACCACATTTATAAAATATAATGAATGACTCATAAACACCATTTCATCACTTATGATAAATTATCATTATTATTTTTGGTGAGGAAGATTGGCCCTGAGTATCTTCCTCAATCTTCCTCTTTTTGCTTGAGGAAGATTGTCACTGAGCTAACATCTGTGCCAGTCTTCCTCTATTTTGTATGTGGGACTCCGCCACATGGCTTGATGAGCAGTGTGTAGGTCCACACCCGGGATCCCAACCTGCAAACCCCAGGCCGCCAAAGCAGAGCATGAGAACTTAACCACTACGCCGCCAGGCCAGCCCTGAACAAATATTTTTAATTTAAGGTATCATCAAAGTGCAAACTATCAAAAGGATGGGCTTTTAATCAAGCAAAGTAGTACAAAATATTTATATATATATATACTAAAGCTGTCTGTATTGGTCCTTAAAATTAAAAAAATCTACTGAAGATAAATTGATACATAAAATAATCATTTTCATTAAGTTATTTGGTAAAAAAGTAAGTTCATGAGAATGATTATAAAGTCAGCTTTTATGTAAAATTTTGTGCAATTTAAAAAATTTTCCCTTCTCAGTATAATGTATTAACTATTATATTTCAACTGAACATATTTCGAATTCAAACAGAAAGAATAATCTGTAATCAACTTAATTAAAAAAGGCATATACATGGGGCCTATTTTCCAGAAATGCAGTTTTACCAAGGGTGTATGATATCTATTTGAAACTTTGTTGACTGGCTAATGTTCTCATTTATCACCATTTACAAAAGACATAATATTGGTCTTACTATCAGATTTAACTGTACTTGAGTGAACATATGTCCTATAGGAGCAACCAGTCCATTAAAAAGATTCCTAACAACGAAACAGAAGCCTCAAGACTTCAAGTGTGTATTAGAACTTCCACATAATCAAAAGCTAATCATAGTATAAGGGCTTTTAAAAGGTCATAGGAGTCTTAGAATGTTTCCTTTGGTGGCAGGGGAGATATCTTTCAAAATGAACCCTACATAAGCATCTACTTAGTAAGACAGCCTCAACAATACAAAGGTCAGGATGGACCTAGAATATGAAAACAAAATATTCACTAAGTTGACAGATTTCAGACTAAAACTTCTCCACTGTGACAAAAATCGCATTGAAAAATTCATCAATTCAAGTGATTTGAATTTATTTTTTTTAACTAATTGTTACTTTTCACAATTTTGTCAACAATGATAAAATTATTGAATATTCACAGTAACTTCTACCTATTAAAATAAGCAAGATACAATCTTTTAAAATATTTTGCTATTTTTAAAAGCTCACTAACAAAAAATGTTTATCTTTTAAATGTCTTCTATTCCTAGCGGTGCTGCTTTTTTCTGATTCTACCCTTAAAATCTGATATTTAATGCAATCTTTTTTAAATTTTTTGTTTATTGCAGTAACATTGGTTTATAACATTGTACAAATTTCAGGTGTACATCATTATACTTCTATTTCTGCATAGATTACATCATGTTCACCACCCAAATACTAATTACAACCCATCACCATACACATGCGCTAAATTATCCCTTTCGCCCTCCTCCCTCCCCCCTGCCCCTCTGGTAACCACCAATCCAATCTCTGTCTCTATGTGTTTGTTTGTTGTTGTTATTATCTACTACTTAATGAGGGAGATCATATTTAATGCAATTTTAAATGCAGAAGAAAAATATACTTAAGGGTATGTACTGAGGGAGTTTAAAATAACTAATTTTCAAACTATAGCACACTATATCACAAAAAAGACAGTCATTGACGTACAGGTTTGGCCTTATAAACTTATCTGCATATTCAGAGGAAATTGAACCAACTTTAAATGAGCAACTAAAATCATAAATCATGAAATTACACTTATTTACAGGAAAACATGCTTATGAACAAAGAATGCTACATTTA